CATATAAAATGTATGACACAAAAATATACATTCATAATTTTAGCTAATTAAGGAATGTAAGAATTACTGCACGTAGACCAGCATTCCACTTAGTATCTTCCCTCCAGTTAAAAAAAGAAGTGCTGCCAAACACCAGATACCAAGAGAAGAACCTAAGGAAAGGGGAAAAGACATCCCAAAACTTCCTGAAGAGCTGAGGGAAGATTCAGCAGTGTGTGGCTCAGTGACTTCCCAACTTCAGAATTAAAAATTTAGAATTTCCCAAATGTTATACTTTTCTTCTGCATAACTGCCACATCACCCCGTGAGCTTTTATCATCTACAGCAACCTGTGCGAACACCGAGACCCAGATGTTCCCTACCCATCGCAAGCTCTGCTTTTCACCACTGTGAGGTCAACAACCCACAGCTTTGCCTCATCCCTGCCTTCCAGTCTTGGAGGATGCAGTGAGCAGTCACTTCCCACTTACCCTCTCCTGCCACTTGCGGTTTTCCAGTCAATTTTGCTGCTTTACACCTACTAAGTCTAGAATTAAAGCCAACAAGAACTAGAAGTTTCTTTCCTTTTGAGACCACCAAGGCCTATAATAACAGCAAAATTAGAGTATAACAGTGGGAGCCACTGCTTTCATATAAAAAAAAAGGCTGAGCTTATTGCAATTGCCCAGTACTAGCAGAATTCAATTAAAGATGTTTCATTAACAGCACAGTCCAAGAACAAACCACAGACAAACCACTGAATGCTGATCAGATCTCCCAATGTGAGCCTATGGAAAAAGGCTTAATGCTTCAAAGTACGGAGTGTTCACAGACCAAAGCACAAAGTCATGTACTTAAATGTTAAGAATATGGATATTGCCATGAAAGCTGGAGCAGGAGCCTCTGCACTCTGCTCCATCAGAACAGTGGTAATTAATAACATCAAACCCATCAGTTGTGTAGGAACATCGCCCCTGAGCACTGAGGGCACTGCAGGTGCTCAGACATTTCAGAATAAGACTCCCGTTTTTGCTAAGCCTGCCAAATTTAAAATACCATTTTAAAGCAGTTCCACATTTCTGCAGAAATATCTTTACTTGTAGGGACTTACAGCTCTCAACCACATTTTGTATAACCTGAGCTGTTCCAATTCCATGCGTCTGGCTCTGGTCAACAACGCTTCATGTATTATCAACTGTATGTTTAAAAAGCACTCCAGTGCTCTCAGAGGTACACTGGGGATAAACTTGTTAAAAGCCTAGTCTGGAGCACAATTTCAACTTGCAAAAAAGGTAAAGCTACTCCACATAATATTTGCTTTCATGAGAGTTGTGATTTCAGCTTCTGAGTTGATGTGCCACAGCGAAGGGCAGGAGTGTAGTGCAGTGCTGTAAATATGCCTCTCATTTTCCTAACCATCTCTTAGGAACAGTGCTACATCAGACAATGGAAAGTGTGCCCAGTGATGGAATTTTTTGTGCTTTTAAAGTATAATTTTGGAACATTTACAACTGACTATTCTTTTTCTTATTAAAATGTTTGTTGCCTTAAATGTCCGTGAATATGGAACATTTGACTATAATCAAACTGCACATGTAAACACACAAAACTAGAAAATTACAAAGCAGATGAAGAATTTTTTTTTTCAAAGCTGTAATTCCTTCTCAAGTAAGTGTTTCTGCTCTTTTAAGTATGAAATTGTGAACACATTTGTATAGAATGCTAAAATTAAAAGTTTAAAGAGGAAATACTCACAATACAGTATTTATCTTGTAATCCTAAAAAAACACTTTACTCCACCCAAAATTTGTTTTCTGTCTCAAAAGTCCAATTAATAATTTTAATATAAATGGTATGTTCTTCACCTGTTTTTATATATCTTTTGGGAATATTAGTGTGCCAGCTAAGTATACAGAGATAAGACATTGTGTAAATAAAAGATAATAATTCCACCACCCCCCAAAAGGAAAAAAAACCACCACAATACAGGGGGGCACAATCTGCAATTAAAACACTAAACAGCTAAGATCCCACTATGATTTTAATTCTAGTCTTGAGAGTCTTGGAATGTGCCAAGCCATTCCACAAAGCTCATTTTTCTTGCAGGAAGTGATCTAATATAAAAAGTACTTTACAATTTTCAATCAAGAGAAATACAGATATGAATGTATTAAGCCAGTATCTATAAAGCAAGACATTAGGTCACTTCCTGACAACTAATATCTAAAATCGACATTTGTTACTGCACAAAAGTGTGCTTCTACAGCATTAGTTGAAACAAGAACTTGGTATTTTTACAGAGTGGGTATATTGGCTCTGCTACCTCTGTAATCATTGCTGATGCATAATCCCTTCCCTGCCACTCCCCTGCATGTCACTCTCCAACGTCCCTTCAGCTCTGGCACATTTCAGTACACTCTGCTAGTTAGAAAACAAGCTTTTTTCTTTTCATCTGGTAGATGCAGAAATCTTTCTGTGGCAAAACCACAGTTAGTCCAGCAGTGACTTTAAGAGGGAGATGAGGGAAGGAGTCCTTTTTGTGGGGAGGGAGAAATAGAGAAAGGCTGTTTGATTTTTAAAGCAGCGTGATTTTAAAAAGCATTCCTCTCAAGAAAAAAAGAGGCCTCCATCAAATGGGTATCAGTGGGGGAGGAGGGGACAGACCTGGCAGTAATGGAAAGTCTGGTCCATAACAGGAGGCTCATAGGCTCACAGAACATTAAATATTGATAACGAGCAAATGTACTTGGTCTTTTTTGTCCCTGGTCTGCAACCCCCCAGCAGTCTGACTGAACTGGGGAAACATTAGCAGCACATATACTGTGAGCATCCTGAAACCTGGAAGCATGTAAATGCAGCAAGAAAAGCCAGTTTTGCCAAAGACCAGGTAGATATCCATGAGCAGGGAAGAGAGAAACTGGAGTGAGAGATGGAGAAGCTGGAAAGGCCACCCCACGGCTGCGCACGCAGGCGGCCACGCGCCAGTGACTCGCTGGGTTTTTCTCAGTACTCAAAGCTTCTCACTGAACAGTTCTAACCACAAAGCAGGCTGTAATCTAAAATCATGCCACAACTTGCTTTAATATGTTGAACCAAAACTGCGATGACTAAGAAATAAAGCCAATGTTGCTGAACTGGCTACGGCTGCCTTTTCTGCAACATGCATAAATGTAGGCTGATCCTTATCATTTAAGATGGAACTTAAAGTTTTTCCCTTCAGTATTAAATTCTGTTTAAGAACTGTACGTAGCACAAACGCTGACTTCTGATTTTAAGTTTTCATTTAAATACTTAACTTTTTTTTAATGTACTTTTTACAAGAGATATTTTCCAGTGGAGCAAAAACTGAACCAGTGTAAGGTTAATGACACCACGGCTCACTGCTGTCTCTTACCCTTATTCAGCTGTCTTTGGTGGTTTATTGAGCTCTAAAGCATTGATATTCAGCTCAGATAAGCATGTTAATAGACAACCACATACATTTAAAAACAAGTAACTTCAAAACACTATAAAGACAATGCAAGGGAAAAACAAAACAAAGGAAATAGGCAAAAATCCAGTCCAACCAGGTATGAACCTGATTCAGAGAAACCACCTAAGCTTACAAAAACTTTCTGAAGAAAGTTTAGTGGAAACTATCTTGATTGCACAGTGAGCAATTTCGTATCCATCACAAATTACTCAACTGCCTCTCCTACCCAAAGACTTTCCCCTGTAAGCACAGTCTTGCAGCATATTACAACTGAGATTTTTTTTGGTCCTCTGAGAAGCTCAGTGACTGCCAGTGACTAAACAACTTAGTAAATTGTACTACTGTATGCACAAGAATCAACAACAGTAGTCTCTAAGCCCTGACAACAGAAATCTCACACTTGCTTAGAGAATTTTTCCCACAATCAGGACTTTATCCAGAGAACTTGCTTCCTAAATACAACACAAACACTACAATAAATTTTATGTAAACAACTTTCAATTAGATTTACAAAATACCTGTAAAAATAAAGGCTGTGCTTATGAATTGTGTAAGTTAGATGCAAATTCCAGATGGAATGGGATCTCCAGAGTTTGAAAATACCATCAATCCAGGAAAAAAGTTTAGTTTCAGTGGATGTATCATCAACCTAAAACTGTGTTCAGGTCAAACTTTCTCAACAAAAAGCAACAGTAACTCCACACTCAATAATTAACTGCTAGAAGAAAAGCTGGAGTGTTGTTAAGTGGTTCCTCGGCTTCTGCTCATTCACTTTGCTACACATTCAAGTACATTCATGAGATGTTCAACATTAAATAGTGTTTAACTGATAACATCCATTCTTCTGAGTATATTCTGGGGACAAAGACAGCTTAAAATCATGATGGCTTTGTGTTTTGTCGTTTTTAATCACAGTAGCCATCTTTTTCTGCCATGTGACTAAAACTCAGTGAAATAGCAAAAGTCATATTTTGTTGCTTCATCCTATGTCAGATTCTGAAACAGTGTTTAGCTTAGTCCACTATTCCCAATATAAGTTGTAAACCCCATGTATTCCGTAGCATTAGAGCATGGTAATTCTGTGGACTTGGAAGGTTTTTTAGATGTTCTACCAAAGAACATAATATATACATAATTAATTTAAAACATTTATGATTTTAGTTCTATTTTTTTTTAGCCAAAGATGTTAGTTAAAACTATCTGCCGAAGTATTACACTTCAACTACAAATCTTCTAGCATTTCATTTCTTTATATGCTGTTTTATTACAGAATGAACAAAGAACCAATGGACATTTTCTTATAACCACAGAACACCTTAAGATTTAGAAGTGATGGATTTTTTTTTTTTGTATTCTCACTCTTAGACAATTTAAGGTAACATTTAAGGTAACAGGTACACCTTGCTTTTACTCTCAAGTGTAAAGCTGCCTTAAGCTGAACACCAGTCACTCTACAGTCACCAACCAAATACTCATTCTTAAATTTATTCCTCTTACTGAACATTTTGAAATAGTGATTTATTTTCTCTTCTACAGCCTCTACACATACCTATGGTTTCTGGCAAGTCCAAGAGCTCATTGTGCTGCAAGTCAAGGTTGGTGATCTGTGTGCAGCTTCCAATCTCTTCAGGAAGATGTTCAAGCTGATTGTGCGCTACATCCAGCGTTATGAGGTTACACAACTCACCTAAAAGCACACAAGAAAACCAAAACATCAAGGTCTTTAATGTACAGCTATAGATAATGACCTCCACACAGAGATTAACAAAATCAGACAGATATTGGGATAAGCTGAAAAAAAGCTATTGCTACTATAAAATTACACATATAAAATAAAGTATTACAGGACCATAGTTTCATCAGTCAGATCTAAAACATGATCAATAATTTTGAAAAAAATCAGATAAAGCTTTTATAGATTCTCTGAATACATCTTATTTATTGACTGATTTTCTTCTGACAGTTCAAGCTATGGAATACAAGTACAAAACCTATACCTCACACTTATTTCAGGCTGACCAGAAGTTTAAAACACCACAGAGTAAATGAATTGTATTAAATTTTGAGAAATTATGATCTGTTTTTATACCAATAATTACCTTCAGACATAAAATCAACAATTAAGATACATAAAAATTATGTGGCTGACAACCTAGATAATCCAAAATCCCGAGTGTTATTTTTAATCATTTTTAGTCATCACAAAAAGGCAACATATGACAAGCAAAGTGTATGCAAGCAATCTATAGCAAATAAAAGTTTGAAATAAAAGGCCTATCTGCTAAACCTTAAAAAAATATTTGGATTTCCTTAGAGTTTAGAACTATGTTACACTGAACTGCTTCATTACTGACATTGACACATAAATTTAAAAGCACAGCTAGGCACAACTCTACATACAGTAGTTTCACCTGTTTTAATGACAAACACACTGTGTTCTGAGCAAAACCTTTCTGGGTTTAAAAAAAAAACAAACAAACAACTGTGCGCAGGAACACAGGTGTATGTTTTCGTGTTTTTTGCATCTGATGGAGGTGAAATTAATGCATGTGATTCCAACAGCATCAACTCTATCCAGTAAAGATGAGGTCACTGCATTGTGTATTAGAGCATGACTCAGTGAGTAACAAACTTGGAAATGGAGCAAATGCCTTTTGAGGAGCAAATGTTTATTTTTAAGCTTGTGGTGTATCTTTGACACAATCCTTTAAGGATTTTCCCACAGGCCTGCAGGACTAGCTTGGGCAAGTTCTGATGTGTAGAGTCAGATGTCTACCCATTAGACCAGCAGATAATCACAACTGGTGACTTAATAAATCATAAAATATTTATGAATTCAGACTCTGTATTGAGTTGCAGGCATCATGTAGCCACAAGACTTACTACATATCACAGAACAAACGTGAAAAGCCAGGAAAAAAGTCAACCTCAACAGCTTCATTATTCCATTTTTCTTAGATTGTTAACATATAAATAATCTTATTTCCTGCATTTATTAACCCAAATTGGGATGTTTTTCTAGAAACTAGGCAAGTGGAAATATAAAGGCGGTGGTTGAGTAGCTCCTCCATCACTGTATCCCCTCCCTTACACAGCATTCAAGTGATTCCAGGCAACCAGAGCCAATAGTCAAACCTGCTGTATCCAGCACTGCATAAACCACACAGGTCAATGCCATTAACATGCAGAAGAAAGCAAATGCTAGAAAAAATTGAGCAATAGTTAATGGTCTGTAGCAGGGGCATCTTTTTATTATTCATGAAAACAAGTGTGCAAAGCATAGAAGGCAATAGAAGGAGGACAAAAAGTTTGAGGAAGAAAAACATCCCTCCCTTAAAACAAATAAAAAAAAAAGAGCCCCAGAAAACTTTACTAAGATAACTCCAGAACCTTCAAACACTTCGGGACAGTAGTTTTCACTTCATGATTGCTGTTTTCATTTGTTTTCGCTTCAGACCATAACCAGTGATGTCAAATTTGAAATATGGCAAAAATTTCATTTCATCGCACCAATTTCTCATTTACTTGACTCTTCCCACTCTACATCTGCTGAAGCTGAAGAAATACTTGGATTTTTGCAGCAACATGTGCTGCACTTCATTTTTCCACCTGCTGAAAACTTTGACAACAGCAAGCTACGTGTTTGAAACAAACATCTTACAAGCTGATTCCGGGGAGAGAAAACAAGAAAAGGGATGCCTATGTCTCTTTAGTCAATTGAGGGCAAGCTGACACTTTGGTCTAATTTGGATAGCCATACTTAATATTATTACATTTAATAAAAATTTGGAATGTTAAAATAGATTGAGGACAAATTTTAGACTCTAGAGCAGAAATCAAGCAAAAGTTAAAGTCCTGTCATGAAATACATTGATTTAAGGAAAGCAAATTCGAAGGTATTGTAATAATCAGCTTTTAGTTCACATTGCTCAGTAAGGGATCTTAGCCTTGGACATAAGAATACTTACGGTTTGACAGCATTTCACCAAAATGGTTTTTTCCCTCTAACAATAGAAGGAGAAGGGAGATGAAATGCTGTTGGCACTGAAATTCCTTTAATACTTTAACTGGAATTGCTGAGACACAATACAGAGAGCGTGCAAGTCAACAAAAAGCACTTGAGGCACATTTCTCTTGTTGCTGTCCACAACATATGGAAAAAAAATCTTACATCCAATATGCTTAACAAGGTGAAATATGTTCAGGTCATGTTGCGGAGACTCATCTTCACATGCAAGGGCACAGAGATGATCAGCTGTGGGTGTGAGAAACTAAATACAGGCTGTCCAAGTATGGGTGAGAGCCATGAGGGGGAGTAAATGGAAAAGCTCTTCAGAGCATCTCAGAGTGAGAGCTGTTACGCATGCGGGGCCTGAATATCTACTGGGAGGTACAAGGAAGAACAACTTTGGATGGTAAGAGTTGCTATGGAATATTTAGGATAGGGGAAAGGGAGAAATCAATGTGGTTTAGGAAGCACAAGTGTGGGAAAACATGGGAATAACGAAATAAAAGGGTCCAGTCCCTTACACACCAATGCTGGTCATGCCCTATGGCCAACCAGCACCATCTGCCCTGTCTTCTCCTTAAACTCTCTTTTCCTGAATAAGAAGCTCCCTGTTATGCACACACAGAGGTCTGAGTACCAGGAACACTGCAGGTAACATGACCAGCACTAATGAAAACATCCCAGTACAAGGGATGAGAACCCCTCTGGACACAGAGAGGGCGCTGCCAGACCAGTGTCTATGGAACAGGGGCAGCTCCTTCCCCACCGACTGACAGCTGGGACTTGTCCTGTGAATGAACACACTGTGCACAGCACTGCTGAACAACAGTAGCTCTGTCAGAAATTACACCAGGATAAACACATGGCAGAAACAATCTATACAACAAATAATGATCTGCAAGAACAAAGAGGCCAAACTGAAGGCCATCTGCATAATGCTCTTCCTAGGAGCCGATGTTCCAGTGAGTGGAAGTGTCCTTATTGTCTGAACAGCAGCAATTGTACTGAAGGAAATGCTTATCAAAAAAAAAGGTGAAAATAAGTTTCACCAAGATACAACTGAAATCTGGCATTTTTGTTTTGCCAGGGTAAGAAGCATATGTCAAAATCAAAATGAAAGTTTTCCTAAAAGAAAGATTTGTGCATGTACAAAAAGGAAAATGGCTAATGAGCAAGGAGCTCATGATCTTTTTCATATTAAAATAATCAACATTTTCACTTTTCTGGTGTACTTCACAAACTTTGCTGAAACACATTTGTATCTTGATTTAACAGAAATACGACCGCTAGAAATGTGCTGCAGATCAAAATCAGCCTTAACCAGAAAGCAGTTTCCTAAAGAAAAGCCCATTCCTGTTCACTATGTGAACAGGACACACCACCAGCATCACTTCCCTAAAGGATTGTTCAAACACCCAAAATCACTGCAGGAAGAGAAGTACTACTTTAGGGAAATACTAACTGCAGGTAAAATGAACTAACTTTTTTCTTGTCTGTTTTTTGTCCCAAACAGACAAGACTTAAGCTCACAGTGGTGAATAAAGATTTTAAAGTAGAAGCAATGCCCTAGGAAATACATTAAACAGTCGCTCTATGCATAACTTTCATAAAACAGTCAGTTACATCCTATCATGTAGTTTTTAAAAATCTGTATTTTAAAAGGCTCTACAAGACAAAAAATTCCCATAATGTACAGGTATTTCTCAGAGAAAACAGTTTGTGAGTACTCCAAGCATCTTCCTGTTAAAAAACTTGTTAAAAATACAGCTAAGTATTCATCTCAAGAATCCTTAAGAGAGGTGGGGTGAGCCATCACGTCACTGTTGTTCTCATACACACAAAGAATAAATGTTATAGTACAACAAAGCTAAATATACCTGCTGAAAAGGCCAGCACTATGAAATGACTAATATTTTCTGCATAATGAGGCAGAATTATAGTTCCATTTCATAGCCAACTTTGAAAGCCTGTTATGAAAAGAGAACCAGGCTACATGCCCTGACTTACATAACTCTGAAAATTCTTTTTGGCCATTTAAAACACAAAATATAGCTTCTTAAAAAAATATTAAGGTACATACAAATTAACAGTCATGCATGGAAACAGTATATAGGTCAATAGCAAAGAGGCTTCAGCATCTCCTAATTCACTCAGTGGGCACCACTCTTGGATGGCAAACACAATTTGTAATGTAGCCTGTTTTCCACTGGATTAACGCCGGGCCTTCCCATGCTTAAGCAGATTGAAAATTATGAAATCCTTCACAACATGATAAATCCTGGGCCAGATGACACAGCAAGAGGATCAAGACTCTTATGGAAAGTACAAGGAAGAGGAGAATGCAAATATTAGTGGGACTTCAGGATGGTGTGTTAGAACACTAGTTGGAAGCTAATTTGTAAAGATCAATTATCCCAAATCAGCAATGTTGGGAGCAAGTTACAAAGTAACTTTGTATGTTCTCTGCTGGCAAAGCAAAAAAAAGAAAAAGGAAAAAGAATTTTCAGACTATAAAACTCTTTGGAACAAGTGTCTTGATTTTAGAAAAAAAAAATTTAAAACAATTTTACAGTTTCAGAATCTTTTCTCTCTAGATAAAATCTGAGCACATAACTTGACAGACAGCCTTTGAGGTCTTTGCTGTGTATTACCAACTGCCCAACAGAACAGGTAAGCAG